CACCAGCAGCATCCTCAGGTCCAACCACAGCCACATCCCAGGGGAATGAGCCTGTCCCACTCCTCCTCAGGAAATGGGGCTCCTTAACTGGGCAGCCAAGCTCCTTCTGCAGGGAGGTGAGTGCTGGTGGTCTGGGGGTTCTGGGCAGGGGAAGAAGAGCTGTTAACTCATTTTTAGGACAGTTCACCTCATACCCGCTCTATTTTGCAGTCAAAAATCAAGGTAAAATAGAGCATTGCTTTAAAGACAGGAGCTCCTTTTGTTTTACTGCTGTTTGCTGCATACCTGGGCCAGCTGCCCCAGACCAGGGAGGAATTACAGCCCAGGGTGTCAGGCACTGGCTTATTTTTCTGCCCATCTGGAGTTGACTAAATGATCCACCTGCATTGATCCTTGCTGGGAAGGAGGATAAAACACGGGTTTTATGAAATTGTACCTGAGATCAAATAATTGGAAGAAAACACTTTGGAATCCACAGCCTGTAATTAAACATTTCCAGGAGGCAGCGAGGTGCAGTGAGCTCAGCAGAAGGAGCATTTTGCTGGGAAGTCTTTGCTTTGCTTCATGCTGTGTGCTATTAAAGCAAACAACTTCACAAGCTTCAGAAGCACTGGCAGCTCTTGACCAAGAATAGCTTCTCACATCACAGCTAAGCTGGAAACAATGAGGGCCAGCAGTTGTCAGTTGGTTGGGCTTTTTTAGCCCATAAACGAGGTAGCTGAGCTCATGGAGAAATCCCCATTTCTCTATTTTGGGTGTTCTAAGATGTTTCATCTTCTGAAGGATCCAGCAATAACCACCATGAAGCAGAAGTCCTCATTTAAAGCAGATCTGCTGGTGCAATTCCCACCTACCTGGGCACGCCAGGCTCTCCTCCAACACATAAATCCTAAATCCTCAGCACCTAAGCTTGTGCAAAGTCTACCAAACTTGTCTGACTAAAAAATCCCTCTGAGATGTGACAGAAACATCCACCATGTGCATCCTGTGGAATCCCCATCCCTGGGAGGCTCAAAGGGACATGGATGTGGCACCCGGGGACGTGGTTTGGTGGTGGGCATGGCAGTGCTGGGCTGGATGATCTCAGAGGGGTTTTCCAGCCCTCCTGATTCCATGCTGAGCTGGATCCTGGCCCAGGGGCTCTGGGGGGATGTGGAGCTGTGGCTGTGTCACTCCCCCTGTGCTTGCAGGGGAGCAGAGACAGCTTTGGGCTGGATGCAAGGTGCAGAGCTGCAGGACAGCTCCTGTCTGCAGAGGGGAGGCTGGATCTGGGTAGGGGATGGGAGATGGAGCCTTTCAGCACCCTCACCAAAATTCATTTTTTCTCTGCTCTTTTGTTGTTTGGTGAGCTGCTTCAAATATTGAAGATGTCCACAATACATCCAAATTTCATCTTTTTCAGAACTCTGCAGCTAAGAAGCTGCTCTGTGAGCAGGGAGAATTTGGGGTGCAATCTGTTCTTTTTGGCCCCATGCTGGGGGCTGCACCTCTCACACCAGAGCCAGGATGTTCCTGTGCTGCTCTCACAAAGTCTCTCTGCAGCCCTGAGCTCTCCTGCAGTGGCTGCTGAGCCCAGGGCTCCATCACCTCCCAAATGACTTCCTGAGAGGCTTTGGGAGAGCCCCAGGAATCCCTGAGCTGCTCATTCTCAACAGCAGCCAGCATTAGGAGCCAGAGAGAAAATGGAAATGTTCTCCCCGTGTTTTTAATTCCTAGCTCCTGACTGGGACAAAGTCATGGAAACCAGTTGAGGAACTGGTGGCCAACTTTGTGTCCTCTGCCTGAACCCCAAATTCATGCAAATTCATCAGTGAACAGAAACACTGGGAGTGAAGGGAGAGCCCAGAGTGCTCAGCAGAGAACGTATGCAACGTGGAAATTGGACATGAACCCCTTGCTGTTCCTGGGTGAATCTATTATACATGAGCCCATCAGAGCAGGGTATTAATAAAACAGGAGCTGAAGAGCTCAGCACTGCCTTGCTCCAGTGAAACATCAGAGCCTGGGCTGGCACAGCAGCCTTTGAAGTCTGGGGCTGCAGCTGTGACATGGCCAGGATGCTGGGGGGGAATCTCTGCACACCCTGGGGGTTTCTGTGTGATCCAAACCCTCCTCCTCTTCCCCCTCCAGGACAAAACCATTGCTTTTTTTTTTTTTTTCCCCTTGCTCACTCTTCTGGCTTGCTGAATTCTTTCAGCAGTGCACAGAGAAGGCTGAAGATGTTTTAAAGCAGCCTCAGACCTCCTGTGCTGGGATGCAAGTGGCATCTCTTCCAAAGTTCCCCCCACCAAGACCTTTCTGTGCCTTTTGTTGCTCACTGGCAACACCAACCCAAACCCTCTTTGCTTTGCTGAATCACAGGCAGTAACTTACACTGGGCTTTGCAAACATCTACACTTTGTGTCTCCGTCAGGGCACATAAATGTGGCTCTTCAGAGCTGCCCTGTAACCCCAGCTGGGCAGGCAGGGATGCCTCTGGGGTGGGCAGAGGCCCTGGGGAGGTGCTGGGGCTTTGTGCAAACCCAGCCTTGGTGTGAAATGGGAGTAGCTGAAGTGTGGTGGCACCATGATATTTTATGAAACATCCTTTGCTAGGATTTTCCTCTCCTGAGGAGCTGAGGAGCCTCAGGAAAGAAATGTAAACAATAACTCTCTGCTGCTGTGGGATGCAACAGGTACAGCTGTGATTGGTGCATGTTGATTGTTTCTAATTAAGAGCCAATCACAGATGCAGCTGCATCAAACTCTGAGAGTCACAAGATTTTGTTATTCTATTCTATTCTTGTTCTTTCAAGCCTTCTGATGATCTTTTTTCTCTCTGTTCTTTTAGTATAGCTTTAATGTAGTATTTTAATATAATATATATAATATATATCATAATATATATCATAATATATATAATAATAATATTTTTCTCTCTGTTCTTTTAGTATAGCTTTAATGTAGTATTTTAATATAATATATATCATAATATAATAAACCAGCCTGCTGAGAAAAATGGAGTCAAGCCTCGTGTCTCCACACACGGGGAGTCCTCAACAGTGTGGTGTCAGCCTGGACCTGCGTGGCTGTGGGTAATTAACCCTGGCTGATGGCCCTGAGAGGTTTGAGCAGCTGCTCTCTGAGCCCTGGGATGTGAAGCTGAACATCAAGAGCCCTGGTTTGGGTGCTGTGACAAGGGGAGGGTGTTTAGGAGCGAGAACCAGCAGATCTAATTGCACTGGCAGTTTTCAAAGCAATGGGGAATGGATGCACTAAAGAAAAAGGTTTAATTTGTTCCAAGTGGCCCAGTGAGCTGCAGAGCTGGGAAGGGGAGGATGCAGTGTGGAGAAGGGCAGTGGGGTGAGCAGGGAGGCTGAGCACAGTGCTGGGGCTGGGCAGCAGCTCTGTCTCCCTGGGCAGTGCTTGGTGCCACGGGAAACCTCAGGGACAGAGCCACTGCTGAGCCTGACCCACAGAGGCTGGGCTTTGTGCTGTGGGCAGCCCTGCCCTGGAAGAACTGATTCCTGTTCCTTGGGTGGGTGTCTGAGGTGCTCATGAGGATAGCAGTTCTGTTTGCCATGAGCTCACAAACATTTAATCTCCTTCCTCTCTGGCTTTGGGCACCTGTGGGGTTTTGGTGTTCATTCATTTCCAGTGCCCCCAAACCCCACAGCTTGAATCCTCAGGGAAGGGCAAGAGGTGAAGAGGACGTCAGGCCACAGATGGTCCCAGCAGAGGGGTGTGGATCACAGGGTGGGTCTGTTCACCCTCCTGCTGTAAGCACTTCCTAAAGGTGCCCACAGCAAGTCCAGCCCTGGATCTGCTCCACTGCAGCGTTTCTGATCAGATATTGGGTGGCTCTGCCAGGGGGGAGAGACCCAGACCCCTCAGCTGGACCTGCCCTGCCTGAGGGAATCCCAGCAGGACGAGCTCCAGGCAGGGCCAATAATTCCCCTTGCTGCTGAATCACACTGCAGGATTCACCTCTGTGTGAGAATTCACCTCTGCCTGAAAAATTCACCTCTGCCTGCAGGATTTACCTGTCTGTAGGATTCACCTGTCTGCAGAATTCACCTCTGTCTGAGAATTCACTTCTGCAGGACTCACCTCTGCAGGATTCACCTGTGCAGGTTTCACCTGTGCAGGTTTCACCTCTGCAGAATTCACCTCTGCAGAATTCACCTCTGCAGGATTCACTTCTGCAGAATTCACCTGTGCAGGATTCACCTCTGCAGGATTCAGCTCTGCAGGTTTCACCTCTGCAGGATTCACCTCTGCAGGATTCACCTGTGCAGGTTTCACCTCTGCAAGATTCAGCTCTGCAGGATTCACCTGTGCAGGTTTCACCTGTGCAGAATTCACCAGTCCAGGTTTCACCTGTGCAGGTTTCACCTGTGCCTTCCCCTGGCAGGCAGGGTGCCAGGGGATGCTGTGTCTGTCAGCAGGGCCCTGCAAGCCTCGTGTTCCATCCTTGCTGCTGCTGGTGGCACTGCCCTGGCTGGGAGAGGCAGGAGCTGTGCTGGGGCACCTGAGGGGCTGTGCCCCCTCCTCAGGCCCTGCACAGAGCAGGGATTGCAGCGTGGGACAGGCTCCCTTCCTGCAGGCTGGGCTGGCACTGGGCTGCCTCTCCTTCCCAGGGAATGCAGGGATGAGAGAGAGGGGAGAGCTCTGGGATGCAGCTGGGTGAAGCTGTGCAGCTCAGCTCCAGTGAGGATCAGCCACCCTGACTGCCAATTAACACAAATAAACCCTGCTGGTGGCTGTGACAGTCAGCAGAGCCTGCCAGTCTGGTTGGGAATACTCCTGGGAAGTGTTTTTGGTTAAAACCAGCACGAGGCTGCTCTGTCTGCACCTCTCCCTGCTCTGACTTGTGCTGTTTTCTTTACTCTTTGCCTGTACATATTATTTGCAACCCACTGCACCCAAAATACCAACTGGTTGCTCTCAGAGTGTGAAGCAATCACTGAATGAGTAGCTTGGACAATTTTTTTTTTTCCCATTTAGACAGAAGAAACCAGTTCAGCTTTGACCATGCATGTTACATTTTAATTTTTTTTTTCTCATGCCAAGAAATACAAAGAAAGTATATAAGATATACCATACCATCCTGCAGAAAAAGAAACATTTGTCAGCAAAGAGAAGCACCCAGCTGCAATTCCTGGTGTGTTCATGCTGTGTGTGAGCTGTGGCTCTCCCAGTGGGGGGATGGACCCTGCACTTCCATGCCAAGGATCAAATCCTGGCACCTTCCAAGGGCTCCCAGGTGGCAGCAGGGCTGCCTTGGTGAATCCTGCACACGCTCCCTTTCTGACGTTTCTTATCCTGGATGGGTATTTATAGGTTGGAATTTTGCTACCTACTGGTGTCAGCAAATGCTTTACAAATATTCCCACTTTGAAAAGGCTCCTGTCCCCCCGCCCCCCTCGGACTGTGCCCAAGCAGGGGAGTTTTTCAGTCCAAACCTGACTGGTTTTTGCCAAAATTAAAGGCAAGGAAAGGAAAACGAGCTTAAATGGGGATAATTTCAGCTGAAAGGGCAGCCCTGGCTGTGGTTTGTGACAAAGGGACAGGGTGAGCCCAGCCTGGGGGTGCCTCCTGCAGCCTCCCGGGGCTCAGGTGAGCAGAAACGGGGATTCCATTTCCCAGAACAGGCAGGAGCTGCTCCCTCTGTCTACATGGAGAATTCTGTGTGGGGCTGGGGCTGGCTCAGAGCTGCCTGAGCCCCGAGCTGAGATCTCAGCACAGCCAGAGCTGTCCTGGAGAAAGGAGGGACACGGGGAGGGAGGAGAAGCTGTGGGACCAGGAGAGCTCTGGAGGCACCAAAACCAGCACAGAGCAGGGACACAGCAGGGAACTGGAACAGGAAAACCAAACCCATCCTGAACACAGCAAACTTTGGTGGATTTCTTCCCCCTGGTGCTGCTCAGATCCCTTTGGGGTCTGACCCCACCCTTCCCTGGCCCTGGCTCACTGCATCCCACCAGGGCTGCTCCAAAACCAAGCCAAGGTTGCTGCTGGTTCAGCTTGAAGCTTCAATCCAGCAGCCAGCAGCCCTTCTGGGGCACCCCAGAGCCCAGCTCTGCCCCAAACCCTGGCAAAGAATCCAGGACAGCAGTGCCAGGGAGGTGCCAGCAGCCCCAGCTCTGCTGGGAGAATCCTTCCCGTGGATTTCCACCCCACCAGGACCTGACACACTTGTGGATGGGAACTCCCACTCCAGCTTGCATTTAGAGACATCCCCACCTTCTCCATCCCCTCAGAGCTCTCCTCCCACCAGCTCAGCTTCCCTGGCAGGTAGAGCTGGATTGTCACGGTGCCCTCACCTTTCCTTCACCAGGGGGGAGAGGTTGGCCAGGATTTTGTGCCTGTTTTAGCTGCAAACACGGAGAATTCTGATGTGTGTGCTCAGAGGAGGCTGCAGCAGGTGGCAAAGAGCTGGGGGATGAGAAACTGGGCTGCTGGGTGGGGCTGGGGGGGAAAGGGCTCGTGGCACAGCTTTGGTGGCTGCCCTGCCGTGTGCTGAAAGCTGAGATAAGGACAGTTCCCTTAAGGGGGACGTTCTCAAGGGGTGACTGTGCCTGGTGGCCTCGGGGTGAAGTTCTGCCATCATCACCCTCACTGTAACCCTGCCCAGGAGAGTGTGTGCCAAGGGCTGGGGGCTCTGCAGCCTCCTCCTTCACAAATATCAGGAAATTCCACCCAAAAAGAGCCACAGAGGGGATAAAACCGTGGGGGATGGGGAGAGCAAAGAGGCAAAAACTTTGCAAAACAGGCTGCAAAATGTGTGGAGAAGTTGGTGGGGGAGCAGAGAGAGAAAGGGACTCTCTGGGTGTCCCTGGAGAGTTAATTCCTCCAGCACTGCAGAGGCAGGTTACAAGCAGAGTAAATATTTTGTCAGGGATAACTGTAGAAGCTTTCCTCTGGATTTAAATGCAGGATAAGATAAAAAAAAAATCTGAGTTCAAGGGTGCAGTACAACTGTATCTAGTCAGGAAGATTTTAGAATTAAAGGGATTAAAGTGTCTTAGTTCTTCTCTTTTGTTAGACTTAATAGTGAGGTGAGAAGCAAAACATCACCCATGCCTTCCAAGGAGACAGGATGCACAAACAAATCATCACCCTGGGGCTTTTGGGGAAATCTTCTGCCTTCTCCTGCATCCAGGGGAATCCTGGTGCCTCCACTGCCCAGTGCTGCCCTGGCCTGGGACTTCTCCTGGCAGGAGCACTGCAGCTGCCTCACAAAGCCCCCTCCTCCTCTGGCTGCAGGAATCCCACCTGGAACCACAGTGGGGCACAGTTTGTTTAGATCCCACTGGAAAAAAAAAACCCAAAAACCCCATATTCCAAGGAAATCTGTGCTCATAGATGGATCTTCAAGGAGGAGGAAGGAAAGGGGGTTGGTTTGGGAGTGCCTGAGCATTTGCCATCCCTGCAATTAGAGCAGTAATGTGAACCCACCTCGTGGGGGGTGGCAGGGTTTAATCCTTTGGATGCAGAGAAGCACTTTAGATGAAAGGCTTTATACAATGATAAAAGAGCATTTAAATCCTTACTTAATAAACGCTCAGTGCTCTCAAGTCCTAGAACTGCCTCCAGCACTTTTCCCTGAAAAAAGGCCCTTCCTGCCCAAGGAGGAGCCTGGGCTCTTCCCATCAGCTGAATTCCAGCAGCTCCAAGAGCAAAGGGCAGGAAATCAGGGACAGGCAGCACTGCCCTTATGTAGCTCCAAAAAAACCCCATGTGCTCCCCAGCAAGCAGCTTTTGAGTCCAAGAGTTAAAGAGGGAAACATTTGGGGAAATTGATGGGATTTCAGTAGCCATAAGATGAAAGTTTGAACATCCAAGGGAGGGTTTCTGAAGGGCTCAGGAGGAAAAGAGGCAGTTCCTGGACAGAGGATGGAGGAGGGAGCTCCCACCCAGCAATGCTCAGCAGTCCCTGTTTGCTGAACTCACAAAAAAGATAAATTGCAAAAGAAAAGTTGCAGATTTGGTCCATTTTAGCTGCCAGCAGTCTGTGATGGAGTGCTGGCAAAGGGCTGGATGGGAATGGAGCCTGAGAAAGTGCTGTAGTGGTGTGCTATTGCTGTGAGCCCCTGGCATCCCTCTGGGGGAGAGAAAAACGTTGACAGAGTGTCTGGGGGATTTGGCTCTCTCACCCCCTGGATTCAAACATCTAGAGAAAAAAAACCACTTGAAAGAGGAGCAATCAAGAAGGTGACAGGAGAATTTTCACAGAGATGCCCGTGGCTTTGCACATTAGTTACTACAGAGTAACTACAGCGTGGATTTACACCCCACCCCTACCCTGGGCTAAGCCATGTGCCCACTCAGAGCCCAGGAGTCAGTGCCAAGCAGTTCCCATGGTGTGAGGTTTCTTTTGGTGCATTCTCCATGTAGACAAGCCCTGGGAAGCATTGAATTTGCTCTAAATTTGGGGTGTTTTTCAGGAGATTGGGGTCAGGGAGCAGAAGTGCCCTGCAGGACAGCATTTCTCAGCCAGTCCATGCTTTCAGGTCACAGGGTGTCAGCTGGAGAGCACAGAAAGGTCGGGCAGTGCAGCTCTTGGTGCTGCGTCCCCAAAGTTTGGATCAAAGAGACTCAGGGAGCCAATGGACGTGGCCACAAGTGACAAAGCCTGGCTGAAACAACAGGCAGTGGAGATTTGCATAGTCTGGGAGGGTGGGTAGAGGGCCAAGCCCAGAGAGTCCCCCCAGCAATGAGGGCAGAGTGGGGAGGAGAAGGCTGGGGCTGCTGGAGCCTCCAGGGGATTGGGTCCCACGGGATGGGCTGAGGGATCTGTGGGCTGTGGAAGACATGGCAGGGCCTGTGGTACCTACAGACACAGCGGGAGGAGCAGAGTCTGTTTTCTTGTTGTGTTACATACAAAACATTAAAAAACAATACGACGACTCGCAGAACTGACACCCCAGGCAGCTCCGGGGATTTTCAGAGCTGCAGAAGAGCCGTGTGAGGGGTGCAAGGAGAGGAGCAGGAGCCTAAAACTCCTCCATGCCCCTGGAAATCTCCTGGAAGGCCCTAAGCTGAAGCCCCAGAGGGTCGGGGGGATGAGCACTGGCAGTGGTGGGGGCTGGACCACGCTGAAGCCTCTGCGTGCCGTGACATCGGGGTGTGAGTGGGCAGAAGGGGCTCTCCGTGCCCTGGTGCTGCTGCTGGGCATTAACCAGGCTCTTGTCTCAGTGCCAGGGGTGTTAACCTCCCTCTGGGTGCACAGGGAATGCCTGATTTTGCCTTCCTTTAAAAAGCCCACCACGGGATGGGGGTGAGGAGGAGTCCGGGGTACTCATGCAGCAACATCCTCCTCTGCCAGCTCTGAGATCTGCCCTAAGTGATAAAACAGCTCGTAGGAACAGACATGGAGAACATTCCCAAAGGCATGCAAATGGTCATTGTCTCTTTTTTTTCTCTTTTTTTTTTTTTCTTTTTTTTTTTTCATCAAAAATACAAAAGCACCCACCACGTCCTCCAGCTCTGGCGGCTGCGTTTCGCCGGGAGCAGAGCCGTGCTCCTGCTGCAGCTCTGCTCTCCCTCCTCCTCCGTGGAACAGCTCTCAGCTCCCGATGGCAGTTTGAGCTTTGTTTTGTTGTAGAGACAGAGAATTCGGCGATTTAAAAACCAACAACCCCCCAAAAATCCAGCGACTTGTGCCAAAATAATTCTCAGGAGGACTCCTCAAAAACGTCCCGTTCTCGCCTTGTGGTTTCCTTCCAAAGCCAGCTTCCTTCTGGAGACTCTCTCCTCCTCTTGCACTTTAGTTGTCTCCCCACTCCGTGAGTTCTGCTGGAGGGGAATGAGGTAGTGGATTTCCCCTTTCTCCTCTCCTCAGTGGCCTCTCCCATTGCTCCCCAGGGTGGTTTTTATCCCGTCCCTCGGCCAGGCTCATTCCCCAGAGGCGGTGAATCGAAGCATGCGTTCCCTCCGACGGCGCTCCAGAGCAGCCTGTCTAGGGCTGCCCACCTACACTCTGACAATTTTTTTTGTTTTGTTGCAAGGCTGAAAGTAAAAACCCCAAAAGGAAAGTTGTCTTCCTCCTCTTCAAGGTATTTGCATGCTGAAACGTTCTTCTAGGAACCTGTAAAAGAAAGAGTGGCTTAGGGCAGCTTCCAGCAGCCAGCAGATGTTCCCCTTCCCCTCCTTTGGGTGTTTCTGAGGCCCCTCTTTGCCTGAGCTGTGCTGATCATGCTGGTTTGGCAGGTGGGGCTGTGCTTGGGAAGTTCCCAAGACATTTTGGGATTGTATTTCTGATTTGTGTCCTGAAACCTTTCTGGTTTTACAGCACTCCACTCTTCCAAACCCAACCACAGGCTTTGCCAGGGTGGGACCTTTCACCAGGGAGACCTTGTGTGGTCACCAGGGCACTTTGGACAGCACAGGGAGGGCTTTCCACGCTGGCCATTTGGGCAGTGTGTGTTTCTACTGGAAGGAGCCCATTCTCTGAGGTGTTTTTCACTTGTGTGTGTGCAGCTGGTGATGCTCAACCCAAGCTGGAGCCAGCGCCCTCCCGCTGCCCTCAGGCTGGGAATGGGAGCAGGTCTATCCCAGCCCCTGGGCTGGAGCTGGGAGCCAGGTGAGGCTCCTGCTGGAGCTGGGCTGAGGGCAGGAGAAGGAAGGGTTACCTCTGACGCTGAGTGAAATGTAGAGCACGATGATGATGGTCCCCAGCACGATGGAGACGATGCTGAGCAGCCTGGCCATGCGCCCCAGCCGCCGGGCGCCGTCCGTGTCCCCTTGCTGGCCACTGTTCCTCGACTGGGGAGACACAAAAGCAGTCCCTTGAGAGGGGCGGCAGCTCTAGGGGTGACTCCCTGGCTGTAGAACCCCAAACTGAGCCCCGTTTTTCTTTCCTGCTCCTTTAATTGGCGATCACTTGGTTTACGAACAAAAAAAATGAGGATTCCTGGTGAGGGAGAAGCATCACTGCTGGGGGCAGGGCTCCTGATCCTGCTGGAAAGGAGCTCCTGGGCATCCTGCCCTTGGCTGGGGCAGCACCCAGCACTCAGCACTCGGGCAGCTGTGAGAGGGCTTGGGGTGGAATTACTCACCGTGTGTCAGCACTTGCTGCCAGCCCAGCCCTTGGGACCAAAATCCTCCCCAGGTTTGTGCAGTGCCCTTCTGCCACCCCCAAAACCCATTGGGAAGGGGTTCTGGGGGAGGAAAAGCGGGTGAGGGGTTTTAAGGCCTGTTGGTGACATTTTAAGGTGGTTGGGAAAGCTTGGAGTGAGGGGAAAGGGAAGCCCAGGGACAGGGGGAGAAGGGAGCCCAGCATCCTTGATCCAATAGAGGATTTGGGCAAAACCCCCCTAAACTTCACTGGGAGTGGGGTTTTACTGATGATTTATCTGCTTTGAAGCAGAAATTCCTCCTTTGGGGCTGCTTTTATGTATTTAACACTTTAACATGGGTTAAAGGCTCCTTCCCCTGGCCAGACCATCCCCAGCCAAGCTGCCTTGGAGGAGAAGAGGGGATCTGGAGCAAGCTGTGGGGCCAGCAGCTCCCGCAGCCCTGTGCTGTGTGCCAGCTCCTCCCTTTGGAGCACGGCTGCTAAACTGGGAAATTCTCAGTTTAAAAAACAAAAACCAACAAAACAAACAAGTGTACTAGTTAAAATGAGTTAAAGGTGGAAGTGGATTAAAGCAATCCCAGTTTCCTTTCAAAAAATGTGTATCTAGGAAATAGCTGTGATGAAAAGGATCCCATTCCTCATGTTAAAAAAAAAAAAGGTTAAAATTTATATTTAACATGTTCTTCATGTTAAAAAAAAATTAAAAAATTAAGATCAGGGAGGTCTAGGCCAGCTCCAGCAATAATCATGAAACATCACAGAGAATCTGAACCAACACTTGATGTTCCTGCCCCGTTTCCCATTCATCCTGCTTTAATTCCACCTCCTCCTGGCAGCACCAAAACATCCCCAGCCCAGGCTGTGCATGGGCAGCAGCTCCGCAGGAAAAACACACCTTTGGAGGTTTCCATGGGCTCCTTTGAGCTTGTGTCACCAGGAAAATAACACAGCAGAGCCTCAAACAGGCGGGTGGCTGCTTCCTCTGCCCCCTGGCAGCACCCTGCCCCACTCGGGGCCACCCTGGGCATCGCTGTCCCCAGCAGTGGCACAGGAGGGCTCAGGACCCTGCTCCTCCTGCTCTCAGCAGCTTTGCCAGACCCACTCTGGAAGCGAGGGGATGCAGCCAAGAGCTATTTTCATCCCAGAACAGGAGGTGACAGAATGAAGCCTCATGGGTTGGTGGTGAGAGAAGGGGAGGATGCAGAGCCCAGGATCCCTGCCCTGCTCGCTGGCAGCTCCAGCTCTGGGGATTTGGTCTCTCTGGTTTTTGTAACAAGTGTAATATTTTGGCAGGGTGGGGGTTAGATTGCAGTGAAATCTGCAGTTTTAGCTGTCTTCCAGGCGAAATACATAGGCTGAGGGATTCAACATATTTATCACTACAGCTTCTGGAAGTGTTTGCTGCTCGTTTATCCTCAACAATTATGAGAAACACATCAGCATTGGCATGGGGTGTTTAGCAAGAATTTGGTACTGTACATATATTATTAATCAGCATGAAACAGTTTGATTATAGCTCTCTAGTATCACTAACTCCCTGTTTTGCTCTCCACATAAAAACATTAACATCTTGTTTATTAATCGAGGCTCACCAAGGCAGAACATCTCCAAAAGGCTCGAGGGCTCAGGGGGACTGAGTCACTGTGTGAGTGCCAAGGGACTCCCTGCTCCAGCCCAGAGCTGGAAAATCTGCAGGGCCTGGGGAGTGGGTGCTGCTGTGCAGCCCCCCTGGGCCAGGTGAGGCTGGGTGACTCAGGAGTTATTCATTTTACCTGTTTCCCACTGCTATTTGTTCCAGTTATTGCTCAAAATGTTTTGGTTTTTTTTTTTTTCCCCTAAGTGGCCTTGTTGCAAATGAAGGAAATTACTTTCCTGTGCTGGTCCCAGGGATGGGGAAGACAAATCACCCCATCCTCTTTCCTGCAATCTTTCCCAGCTGATGGACTGGCTCTGGATGCTCCCTGCTGCCGTCCACCAATTACCCAGAATAAATCATTAACCCCGGACACTTCTGTTCTTGTTGAAGGAAATATTCCAAGAGAGGCATCACTCAACTCCAGAGTGAGACAGAGGACTGTGATGGGTGAGGACAGTCTGACTTCTCCCACATGTTCTGGCAATGACAGAATTTATTTTGGATACCAAGTGCTGTGCAGAAGTGCCCTTGATGTAACTGTGTGGTGGTTCTGGCTGGATTTTTTCATTTCCCTTCATTTATTTGGAGTCTTTTGTACTCTGGGACGTGCTTTGGTGGGCAGAGGAAAGGATTCACAGCAGGAGTGTAGGGCGGGTATGTGGCAGCCAGCCCTACCCTGCACTCCTGGGAGATGGATCCCAGGGGATGGACACATCCTTGTCCCCCAGCCCCACTCCCTCTCCTGGGGAGTGACCTGAGCCCTTTAGAGCAGCCAGATCATCACTTGGTGAGAACAACACATCCAAGAGTCCGTGGAGAAGCCTCCAGGTAATTAATTTCCATGAAAGCAGTGTTAGCAGGAGCAGGCTGGGGGGGCTGGAGCAGGGTTTTTTCCACCTCTGGCCATAGGCCCTGTTGGGATGTGAGAGCAGCTTTTGTAAAATGATTTATGAGACACTAAGCTCAAAAGCATTCATTTACTTTCCTCTCTGGACGCTGCTTATTACCCAGGAAAAAAAGAAAAGCTTTCATGTACAAAGCTTTGACTCAGGAAAGAAAAGCACAATTGCAGAGCTAAAGGGATGTCAGCACATTGTGGAAAGGTCCTCCTGTTTCCCCAGGCGATGGGAATCACAAAATCCTGGTTCCTGCTCAGATCTGTGCATGATCAGGGCTCTAGTCTGAGAGAAGATCTGGGGCTGGGGGAGCCTTGGGGTCACTGGGAGCTCAGTTCCCCCTGCTGTAAGCAGGTGAAACATCAACCCGTGCCCTGAGAGCTGCTCCTGCTGGCAGAGGACCCAGCCAGATGTTCCCTGCTTCCTCAGGGAGGGTGGATCACTCCTCATCCTGCTCTGCTGGTGCCTGTGGAGGTCCCTGTGTGTGGAGGAGGTGATGGTGCAGGCAGGGCCAGGACTAGAAAGGGTTGTAATAATTAATTAAAGCACAGGACAGAGAGTGCAGGGGCGACTGTGCAGGGGCCAGAAGATGGGCACTGGCCACTAAAGTGCTGTGTGTGCCATTAACCTTGTCCTGGAGAACAAGCTCAGCTGAAAGCACCTCCTGCCCCCCTTGCCCAGCTCTGGATGAGCCCTGGGCAGTGCTGCCCGTGGCCTTGGAAGCAGAGGGCAGCCCAATACTCTCATTGCCTTGCTGCTCCTGCCTCCCCTTGGGTGTGACAGTCACCACACCCCTGTCCCTCTCAGCCTGGCAGCCAGAACCAGCTCCTGCTGTTTTCCCACTGTTAACTCTTCTCCCTCACGGGGCTGGTGTGGCCCAAGGCACTCCCCCACCCCCCTGGAGGCTCTGACAACTGCAAGGGACAGCGTGAGGATCTGTTGTGCATGGAGGCTAATGTGGCTGGCAAATCCCCGTGAGAGCCCTTGCTGATTACCATGGATCTGCACTAGCCAGCTGCTTTCCCTCTCTTGCAGTGCAAAGCCAGACAGGGCTGGCTGGCTTCCCTGGCTGCTGCCTAAACAGCCTGTGCCACACAACTGTGCTACGCAGATGACAGCTGGCACTGGCAGAAACCATGATTCCTCCTCAAAATGGAAATTGGTCTCCCTAGAGGGCTTTTTGTGGCAAGTGCCCGTGCCTGCCTTCAAGTTGTTGGTGGTTTTGGGGGGAAGTGCTGGCTGCAGGTGCCCCTCAGTGAATTTCTGCGTGGTGGGCAGGTAATGGAGCTGATCTTCAAAGAAAAGATTTGCCTTTGTTGCAAATCAAAGGCATGGAGGGTGCTGGGTGTGTACAAGAGAGCAGCATCTGCTGGGGAAGGGGGTGGCTCTGCTCGTTGGGCTGTGCTGCCTGAGCCACCTGTACCCGAGACGGGTGGGAGGCTGGGCTGGCTTCCTTCTCCCCTGCTCGGCTCTTGGTGTGTTTGCTGGGGTGTGGGGGATGTTCAATGGAGGAAAATTCCTCCTCCAGGGCTCCTAAAGGAGCTGCAGGTGCAGCCTATCCCTTTGAAGTGCCTGAGGCCGGGCACCAGCCTCCAGCCAGGGTCTCCCCAGTGCTGCAGGGCTGGGCTCGGAGGGGCGGAGGGAGATCCCTGCTCAGTGCTTCTCCCCGCGGCTCCTTGCCGGGGAAGCCCGCCGAGCGGCTCTGGACCGCTGCCTGGCGGCAGGGACCGCGCTTCCCGGAGCCACGGCTCTTCCCGGAGCCACGGCTCTTCCCGGAGCCCTGCCCTGAATCCCACCCCCTCTCCATCTCCATCCCGCCGCCTTCCCGCAGCTCCATCCCGCCGCCTCCTTCTCCATCTCCATCTCCATCCCGCCGCCTCCTTTTCCATCTCCATCTCCATCTCTATCTCCATCTCCATCTCCATCCCGCCGCCTCCCCGCGCTGCCCCGGGCTCGGTGCCGCTCCCCGCCCTCCTCCGCCCGCCCGCGCCCCGCGGACCCGCACAGAGCGCGCTGCGGGAGCCGAGCAGGGCGGCACAGCCCCCCGAGCCCCGCCGGGCGCTGCGGGAGCCGAGCAGGGCGGCACAGCCCCCCGAGCCCCGCCGGGCGCTGCGGGAGCCCAGCGGCTCCTCCCGGCCCGGTGCCGGTGCCGGTGCCGCGGTGCAGCACCGCGGACAGCTCCGGGGCGGCGGCGGGGGAAGCCGGGGGCGAACCGGGCGGGTGCCGCACTCACCATGATGGAGAAGACGAGAGCCACGATGTTGATGGGCCAGACGGGGCAGAAGCAGGAGAAGATGGCGAGCACCAGGTAGTCCCGAGGGCGGCCCTGCTCCGGGGCCGCCGTGCTGGTGGCCGTGGACGAGGCTCTGCCCAGGCTCAGCCGGGACGGCGACAGCGGCGGCGCCTCCAGGTGCCCGACCGACACCGACTTGTAACCGAGCCCGTGCCCGTTGCGCTCCGTCTCGCCGGGCAAGGCTGCCGTGAAGGATTTGGAGCCGCGGAGGCCCTTCTCCTCCCGGCCCTCCGTGGCCGACAGCAGCTTCTCGGTCTCCTGGAAGCGGGTGGGCAGCGCCGTGCCCGAGCCCGGGCCGGCGCCGCCGGGCGCGGAGCCGGTGCTGGCCATGGCCCGGCGGAGCGGGCTCCGGCAGCGCCCCCCTCCTCCGGCTCGGCCCCCGGGGCAGGATCGGGGCCGCGGACCGCCCCCGGGGTGTCCCCGGCCCCCGCTCCCCTCGCCCCCTCACCGCGCCCGGCCTCCGCCCGCCCCGCTGCGTGCGGCGCCGCGGCCCCCGGGGATGCTGCGGGGCGGAGCGGAGACACCGGGAGTCCCCGCCGCCTTCAGCCCGGCCCGGCCCAAGGCTCTGTCCCGCCCCACCGACCCCCAGCTCTTCCCGGGGCTCCCACGGGCTCTGCTCCGCTGCAGCGCTACGTGAGAGCCCAGCCCCGAGCGGGCTCCGCCCGTGCCGCCGGGGCTCGGGGCCGCCTCCAGCCCCGGAGGAGCGGGGGATGCCGAGGGCGCACACAGCCCTGCTGGCTGCCAGCCTTTCCCCGGGCAGGTGGGGGACATGCGGCACGGAGCAGAGCCACGAGCCCCTCATGGCTGCGGAGAGGGGCTGGAGCTGCGCTGGGTCTGGGCAGGGCTGGAGCTGCGCTGGGTCTGGGCAGGGCTGGAGCTGCTCTGGGTCTGGGCAGGGCTGGAGCTGCGCTGGGTCTGGGCAGGGCTGGAGCTGCGCTGGGTCTGGGCAGGGCTGGAGCTGCTCTGGGTCTGGGCAGGGCTGGAGCTGCGCTGGGTCTGGGCAGGGCTGGAGCTGCGCTGGGTCTGGGCAGGGCTGCCCCGAGGGGTCTGGGCAGAGCTGGAGCTGCTCTGGGTCTGGGCAGGGCTGCACGGAGGGGTCTGGGCACTGTGTGGGTGCCCGTGGCACCTCTGGCTCCAGCCGCTCTGGGAAAGCATCATTCCCCGGGCACAGGGTTGGGCATGCCGTGCTGAGCTCGCCCTGCGCGTGGGTGACCGTGGTGACAACACAGCTGGGGACAGGGACACCAGATCAGTGGCATACACAGGACCTGCAGAGCAAAAAAGGGTGCTGATGCAGTGTGAGTTCCATCTTCTCCATCCTCGGGAGCAGGGATGATGTGAGGGAAGGCTAAAACAACCCTCAGAGCCTGAATTCCCGGAAAAAAAAAAAAAAAAGAAAAGAAAAAAAAGATGTTTTCCACACATTGTGTATTATGCTTCAGTTCCAAATTTGCTAGGGGTTTCCCTGGCAGTGAGTGCCATCTACGGGGCAGACCCAGCACCTTCTGCCTCCCTGAGAGGTGCCCGGAGAGCCCTCTGCCAGCCGCGACCTGCTGCCCAGCCCTGCCCGGAGCCTTGTCCCATCCCGCAGCCTCCAAAGAGAATTAGGAGCCGCAGTTTGTGAATGTGGATCTGAGAGCAGCGGGTGACCCTGCTCGGGGGGGTCTCACGGGGTTTTGCTTCCCTTCCACTCCTGCCTCTGGGACCATCTGTTTCCATCTGCCTCGCTTGGGCTGACCACCAAGGCTGGTGTGGGAAAAACAGGGACATGCAAATTCGGGAGGGGGAGGAGGGTTCCTTCCTCAGTTAGGGTGTCACTGAAACATTCTTGTAGCTGGGCTCTCACTCCCCTTTTGATGGTTGCTGACAGGGCAGGGCAGGGCCATGCTCTGCTCCAGGGAGAGCCCGAGCAGGGAGAGGCACCCAGAGCTGGAGGAGAAGCAGGATTCCTTCAGAGGATGTGGCTGCAGGCCTTCCCCTGGCGAGGGGAGCACCTGTCAGAGGCTGAAGCCGGTGCCTCACGCCATCAGCACTTTAAAGAGGCTCCTTTGCTGAGCAAAGAGCTCTCTCTCCTGGCTGCCACCAGTTTTCCTCTGCTCCTGGACCTGCTCCCCTGTCCCAGCGGGGATTAAGGAAGGAGGAGGAGATCCAGGTGCTCAACAGCAGGAGGCTGGGATGGTTCTTCCAGCACGTGTCCCAGGCAGGGAGAGAGCTCAGAGTGCCACTGGAATGTTGGCAGCTCTGGGGTGGGAGCAGAGGGGCTGGAGGAGCTCTGCAGGGCTCAGCACTGTGGGAATCACACGGTGCAAAATGTCCTGTCCAAAAACCTGCCAGCTGTGGTGTGTGGGCTGTAAATCCCTGCCTGATTCCTGCAGCAATTCCAGTTTGCTGAGCCTTGGGCAGGAGGGAGCCCTCGCAGCTGGTCCAGGCTCTCCAAGCCAGAGGGAAGGCACAAAAGGGACCTTTTCCAGTAAAATTCCCCCTTCCTCCCCTCCACGGGACTCGGCCGGAGCGCGCTATTGGCCCGTCCCAACAGAGCCACTTCCCGGGGATCAGAAGGGAGCCGCAATTGGATGGGTGGGTTTATGAAAGCCGACATCTGTCTCCCCTCCCGGCCTCGCAAATCTGCCAGGCACAAACGTCTGTACCAATGAGCTTAGCGTCAAAAGTGCCAGGGCAGTAACCTTTCCCTGCTCCTGCTCCCCTCCTTCACCGGCGGCACCCGCCAGCCGGGGGCTTTAGCGTGATCCCCACGGCCCATCTGTCCATCCCACACACATCAACAGCCACTGCCCTGCTGCTGGCTTTGGAACTCGTGTTTTCTCGCAGAGCAAGCAAGAGAGAATAAATAACAGCGGAGATCAGCAGCAGCGAGACCTCGCGGCAAGGAACCGAGCTGGCGCTTCCAGAGGATTTCCCACCTTCCCGCAGTTCTCCCGCAGAGGGGAGGCACGCAGCAGGGTCCTGTACAGCGTGTCGGGGGCTCTCTGAGCCCGAGCTGCACATCCAGCAGCGCTCCCCTCCCTCGCCCAGCTCCCCCCGTGTGTCCCACGGCTCCGTCCCCTTCCCGGCCCCGCCGCTCAGTGCGTGGGGAGGCTGTGCTGCTGTCCCCAGCCCTGGCAGCAGCCCGGCTGCCAGGGCACAGCCCCGGCCAGGGGCTCTGCCAGGCTGCCCGTGGATCGCTGCTGGAGCCCGCCGGAGCAGCAGGCGCGGCTGGGCACGGGGGGATTCTCCTGCGGGCTCTCGTAGGGATGGAGCTGCCTCTGCGGGGGGAACGCCGCGCACGGAGGGGACGGAGGGCGCCGTGTCCCGGCAGAAAGGGGCTCCCAGGGCAGCGGGGGGCGGCTGCTCCTCAGCCCCGGCTCCTGCGCTGGGACCCCGGCCCGGGCGCGGCACTCGGAGTGGGCACAGGGCCAGCAGCGCCCGCGCAGGGACAGCGACAGCGCCGCAATCCTGTTGATGGCTCGCCGGAGGGTGGCGATTTTGGAAAGCCTTTTGCCGCCGAGGTCGTGCCTGAGGGCCAGCCGCAGGGCGTTGAAGGCTTGGTTGTAGTCCAGAATCCTCTTTCGCTCTCTGACGTTGGCAGCCATCCTCCTGGCCTTGGAGCGCACCGGCCTGCTCCTCTTCCTCACCTTCATCCCTTCCGTGTCCCCCGGGCTGCCGTCTGCTTCCCTGCCTTGGGACACCCACAAACCTTGCCTGTAGCACTCCTGGGGTGCATCCCTCGCGTCCAGCTCCTCCTCGGAGCTGTCGGGCTCCGGCCCCGCTTTCCCCACGGCTGCTCCGGCCATGGCAGCGGCGAGGGGCAGCGGGAGAGGCGCTGCTGTGCTCCTGCCTCCCGGGAGGCGTGGGTGACACTCCTCCGGGGACAGGCAGCCGCCTCTAAAAGCCTTCAGCAGGGCTCGTCACGTGGCTGCCCGGCCCTCCTCACCTGCCGCAGGTGAGGCACAGGCACAGAGCCCTGCCTGCCCCTCTCTGAGCGTGGGGCACCAGTGCCGGGCTGCCCAGAGGGTGGTGGGATGCTCACAGGTCTTCGTGGAAAGCACCTCCACCAAGCTCACGTTCTTTGGTGTCTGCTGAGGGTTTGGGCACTGCAGGAGCTGCCCCGAGCTGCTCTGCCCTCTCCTCTGCTGGGCTGGCTGGTGGCTCGCCCTGGGACAAGGTTATCCCAGGGCTCTGCTGAGAAACAGAGCCCTGAGGGGCATCACCAGCCTGGCTCTTCCTTCCCCCTGCTCGCGGGCCCTGAGCACCTCTGGTACTTCTCACCTGAGAGGAACTGAAGCACGAAATGGTGCCATTGCTGAGGAAAGAGGAAGACACAGCCCTGGTGAGCTGAGAGCATCCGTGGGGACAGGGGGAGGTGGGTCCCGAGCGGGAGCAGACCCCGCAGGAATGTGCAGGGCTTGGCACGCCTCTGCCCTGCGGAGCAGGAAGCAGGAATGTGGCAGGGGGGACAGGGCAGGTGATAAAAGAGCTAAAGTGCTACCTGCCTCCAGAGCCTTCCTGTCCCATCCCAGCAGCCTGGGGGCAGAGCTGTCTGGGCTGGCGCTCCCGGGCCTGCCCAGCACTTAATTTGGGGAAGACTGCAGCAGCTCCTTGTTCCCTGCATCCTCGAGCTGGTGGGATGAGGGCTGGCCAGGTGCAGCAGGTCCGGAGGCCATGGGCAGGGCCAGTCCCCAACCTCTGAACAGGGGGGACAGCCACGTGTGTTTGCACATCATCCCATTAGCGAGCAGCTGCTAAATGCCTTCCTGTGCCAGGGGTAATGCTCTGAAAAATGGCCCAGGAGTGCTTCTGACAAATTGTTGGGGTGCAAAAGCAGAGCCCTGGGAGAACATGCCCCTCCCTCCTTGATCCATCCCTTCCTATCTGATCATCCCAGCTCGTGTTTGATCAATAGCCACAATTAGTGGGGGGTTATTTGTCTATTGCCCTTCTCCTCTCCTGGCTCTTTGAAGCTGGAGCTAATTTAGGTGCCTCTGCTCCAGGAACCCAATAAATCAGGAGCCAGGGCCTCAGGGATGGGGAGGATGAGGCAGCAGGACTTCAAAGGCAGGTGAGGCTTGCAAATATCTTTGAGCACTCACCTGTGCTCACTGTGAGCCCCTTGTTCTCCCCAGCATCCCTCTCCCCTCCCAGTCTTTCTCTGCCAGGAATGGAGGCTCCCCAGCCACTGACTTCTCCAGCGAGCTCAGCTCAGGAGCCAGGAATGCTGGAGTGCCAGCAGGACACAGCTGTCAGACCCACCTAGAGATGTGCCTGTCTAAACCCAGCCAGGCAGGACAGATCCCTGCCACGGGGATGTTTTTGCTGGTGCTGGAGCTCAGGAGGTGCAGTCCAGGGCAGACACAGGGGTGGCTGCGCTGGGCACAAAGCCAGTCCCAGCTGGGCTGTGCTGGGCAGAAGGAACAGTCCCAGAGCTGTCCCCATCCTGCCTACAGCCCCTGGGACATCCTTGGGAAGCACTGCCAGGGCTTCTGGGTCTGTGGGCAGCCCTGGCTGCAGGGATGCAGCCCCAGCTCTCTGAAGGGGCGAGGCCAGACCATAAATAACATCTGATGCCACCTGCCACCTGTAATTATCACATCCCGCTGGGCCATCCCCTCCTCGTCCTGGGCACTTCCGACCTGGAGGCCCATTACAGGTTGGGAGGTCAGCAGGAACACCCACCCAGCCCTGCTCCCCCGGCCCCTGCTGATTTATCACCGTGTGCTGGAGAGATTTATGGGCTGAGATGGGGAGCCAGAAACGCGTTGTGAGGCTCTGCTGGGCCCATCTGCCTGACAGATGATGAAAGAGCCGTAATTATCTGTCGCCACACATACTTCAGGCCACTCATGGCACTCCCCAGCCTGAAAGCAGGGGTTTGGCCCTCGGGGACTCTCAGCCTGTGTCACTCTGGGCTGGAGCTCTGCTGACACAGGGCATCTGATGCCACCTGCCACCTGTAATTATCACATCCCGCTGGGCCATCCCCTCCTCGTCCTGGGCACTTCCGACCTGGAGGCCCATTACAGGTTGGGAGGTCAGCAGGAACACCCACCCAGCCCTGCTCCCCAGGCCCCTGCTGATTTATCACCGTGTGCTGGAGAGATTTATGGGCTGAGATGGGGAGCCAGAAACGCGTTGTGAGGCTCTGCTGGGCCCATCTGCCTGACAGATGATGAAAGAGCCGTAATTATCTGTCGCCACACATACTTCAGGCCACTCATGGCACTCCCCAGCCTGAAAGCAGGGGTTTGGCCCTCGGGGACTCTCAGCCTGTGTCACTCTGGGCTGGAGCTCTGCTGAGTGCTGGCACCTGCCCCTTGTCACAGGGACCCTCTCGTGGGTCCCACAGCCCAAAGGTGTGGGATCTGCAGAGAGCCCTGGACTGGCTGCCCCATCCATCCAGCACCCCCAAACTGCTGGTGCTTCCAGGAGAGAGCTGCTGGAGCCGTCTGGGAGCACAGCCCTCACTGGAGGGCAAACCCTGATGGCCTGGGGGGGCTGCCAGCTCCTGGCACTGTCCCAGCACCGCCCATCCTCCTTGGGAAGGCTGCACAGGGAGGCATGGATGTGCCAGAGCAAAGCAAGGGAAGGATGGGAGGCGGGACAGGCTGCAGGGAGTGCCCATTCCTGGTGACAGGGGAAGGAGGAGGCGGCTGTCGCAACACTGCCTGGGCCCCAGAGTAAATAAATAAACAGAGTGCTTTGTTCCTGCTGGGGCACGGCCAGGTGGCACAGGGCTGGTGAGTCAGCCATGCCCAGGCAGCCACCCTGTGGGGCTCAGGAGGAGGCAGGAACTGGCACTGAGAGGCCTGGAGGTGCCTGTGGGTGAGATTCCTGCTCCAGGGAACAGCCCTGCCCTGGCACAGGTCAGAAAGTCACATCCTGTGGAGCAGGAGTGAGCCATGGGCACGTGCTCAAACACAGCACATGTGGCAGGCAGTGGGCAAAAGGCTTACTCGGGCCTTCACTGAATCCCAAAATCATTCCAGGTGGAAAAGCCCCCTAATTGAATCCAAATGTTAACCCAGCACTGCTTTGTTACCACTAAACCACTAAATGCCACATCCATGTTTTTTGAGTATTTCCATCACTTTCCTGAGCAGCCTGTTCCAAGTCCAACCATCCTTTTAGTGAAGACACTTTTCCTAATATCCAGTTTAAGCCTTGAGGCCATTTCCTCTTGTCCTGTACCTTGTTTTGGGAGTAGAGACAAACCCCTGCCAGGTTTCACACTCCTTTCAGGGAGCTGTAGGCCTTCATTGCCCACCACAGGAGCTGTGCCTGCTGCTCCATGTGCCAGGAATGGCTCATCCATCCTGAGACCAGCAGGGCTGGCAGAGTTTCACTGCCCAGAGGATGAGGAGGGGACACACAGAGCTCTGCAGTGAAGGCCAGGGCACGTGGCAGCTGTGGCAGGCAGAGGAGCCACTCCGTGTCACAGGAATCTTTAAGGCTCAGTTGTTCCCAGCTCGGGGATCTCCCGGAGCACGTGGGATGGATTCTGGCATTAGTTATCATCTTGTCACTGCCCTGAGCTGCCAGCACCGGGCACTCCCCTCACCCACATCCCCGTGCCCTCAGCTCCCCAGGGAGACCCGGGGAGGGCACTGGGAGTCTGTGAGCTGCAGGAGAACAGCACCCACACCCCGCTGGTGTCCACATTCCGTTCCATTCCATTCCATTCCATTCCATTCCATTCCATCCCAGTCCAGTCCATTCCATTCCAGTTTGTCCTGTCCCAATCCATTCCATTCCATTCCATCCCATTCCAGTCCAGTCCATTCCAGTCCATTCCATTTTGTCCTGTCCCATTCCAATCCATTCCATTCCATTCCATCCCATCCCGTCCCACCCAATCCCATGGATCCCATCCCACCCCACCCAGTTCCATTTCATTCCATTCCATTCCATTCCATTCCATTCCATTCCATTCCATTCCATTCCATTCCATTCCATTCCATTCCATTCCATTCCATTCCATTCCATTCCATTCCATTCCATTCCATTCCATTCCATTCCATTCCATTCCATTCCATTCCATTCCATTGCCGGGGGGTGCGGGGGAAGCCCGGCTTTGGGGCGGGGGATGGCGGCGGGCGAGGCGGCCCGGGCGGACTTCGCTCGGCACTGGCAGGCGCAGTTCCCGGGGGAGCCGGCGCCCCGCATGGAGCTGGGCTCGGTGCGGGCCATGGAGCGGGAGCTGGAGCGCTGCCGCCGCCACCTGCGCCGCCTGCAGCGGGCGCTGGCCGAGGAGCGCTTCAAGGTGGGATACCTGGAGGCGGCGCTGGCCCGGGCCCCGCCGCCGCCGCCGCCCGCCGCGCCCCGGCCCGCGGGCAGCTCCCCGGAGGGCGGCAGCGCCGGCAGCTCCGACGCGGAGGACGCTTCCTCGGCAGGTGGGTGAGGGGGAGCCGTGCCCAGCCCGCGCCCCCAAGGGCACCAGGGTGTCCCCAGCCGTCCCCGCCGCCGCACGGTCAAGGGCGAATGTGCACGGCCGAGGGCATCCCCGGTTCTGCGCTCCCGCGCCCCTCCGTGCCCGTGGCTCCGTGCCCGTGGCTCCGTGCCGTGCCGCGGGTGGAGGCAACCCCGAGCCCCTGTGCCATCCTGGTGCTGTGACTCGGCACGGCAGCCCCAGCGTGTGCCCAGCACGCAGCCAGGAGCGCCCCGTGCTGAAACACAGTAGGGAATGCCCAAAGTCCTTTTGCCGTCCCCATCGGGCAGCTGATGCCAGCCCTTGTGCAGTGCCTGGCCAAGCACTAAGGTCACCCCAAGCCCTGTGTCCTCCCTGTCCCACTCCCAGGGACATCCCGTGCCCAGGCCCCATCCTTGGGTGCGCAGGGACGGAGGGTGGCTGGCAGTGCCCTGGGCTGGCTCTCGGTGACGGGCCGGTGGCCCACGAGCCAGCCCTGGGGCTGGGACACAGCACAGGAGTCACTTCCTCCCGGCGGCGTGACCTGGCTGCCGGGAACACCTCTGCTCAGGTGACACCCGTGACCTCCGGGGGGGAAGTCCTGGAGGCCCTAAAGCAGAAGCATGCCGGGGTGGTGACATGTCCCGGGGCGTTTTCCTAGGTGGATTGAGGACAGTGTTATTTCGCAAGTGCCTGGCTGTGTGGTGGCACTGGAGGCACAGGCAGCTAGCGCTGTCTGCCGTCACACTGTCCTACTTCCAGCGGCCTGGAAGTTGTTATTGCATCAGCATTAAACCCGGTTCAAACACAGTCCTGGCAGCTAGGGAATGTCACTTTTAATGCTGCTAATTCCACGGCTGACTTGAGTTAATTTTGTTCTTGATTGTTTGGGGTGGTGGTTCCCCCTCAAGGCTGTACGGTGCTGGTTTAAGATTGCCTGGAGAGCAAGTGCTCTGATGTCAAATTATGCTTAATATTTAGTTCATTTGTATTTATTGCATTAGTCTGCAGCGCTGGAGGAAGTTTCCACTTCACCTTCCTGAGCTGCCTGGAGGTGAAATGTCCAAAGTACGTGGCTGCTCTTGGTGTTGTCACCGTGCTGTGCCAGGCTGCACGTGTGAGTGCTTGTCCTGCTCTCCAGCCAGCCCTGAGAGCCTGTGCCCAGCCCTGCAGCCAGGAACAAGGAGCTGGGGAATGCTGGTGGATTGAGGACAGTGTTATTTGCCCCAAGCCCCTCTCCAGCTCCCAGCAGCAGGCACGGGCTGTGGTTCTTGGAGAGCTGCTCTGTGCCTGAAGTGGCTCAAGTGCATCAGAGCGACCAAGCACAAATCTTTCTGATTTACACTCAAACCTGTGTTTGGTTTGTGTCTGGGTTATGCTCCTGGATGTTTCCAAAGCCAGGATGGTGCAAGGCTGCTCTCAGCTTGGTGGGTGATGTTAAAGGGGCTTTCCTGAAGCACAGCACAAGCCCCTGAGGGTTCTGGCTTCACAACTTGGAGGGGTCCAGCCCTGCACCACCCTTTGCAGCTGGGGGGGTGAGACTTTTAGCAAGACTTTGAAGTCCAAGGTTGCATCAGCTGTGGTTGAATGTGGCCTCTTCCTCCTCCTCCTCCTCTTCCTCCTCCCCTAAATGGATCTTCCTCAGGGTCAGCAGCTCCATCACTCATCAGAGGAGGAAGCATCCCCTCTGCTGAGTGTCTGGCTCCTTGCCCCGTGACACGGCTGGGCTCAGCCCTCCCCAGCCCTGTCCCAAGCCTGTCCTGAGCCTTTCCCAGGCATCAGCATTTTCTTTGTTGGGTGTTATAAGGGCCCCTGTGTGCACTGCCTGGGCTGACATTTAAGAGCACAATTTGAGAGTGCAGTAAGAGGTGTGTGGTTGTTCCTGGATCCCCCTTTCATGGACAGTGGTTTACCCGGTGCTCCTGTTGTTTTCCTCTCACTTCTCTGTTTCAGATACAGTTGAAAATTCATGATTGTGGTGCTGTTTGCTTCTCCTGCCAGCACTCTGGTGGTGTGTAACCCGGTTAGTGCTGCTCTGCCTGGGTCCCTCAGGATTTTACTGTGAATTTTGGAGCTTAGTGGTGCTGTGGCTGTGGCTGAACGCAGTCAGTCCCCAGCTGTATCAACTTTGAGAAACACCCTCTGGACAGCAAGAGAACGAGTGTTGAATACCATCTTTATGGGAATTACCAGGGAAACACAGTGTTTTCCTTTAAGTAGCTTGTGATTAATCAGATTTAAAGGGAGGAAATCTGCAGGATGCCCGTCTGCGGCTATCGCGCAGGAGCGGCGCGTGTGGCAGCCAGACACACGATCCTGGCATCTGAGATAACGCCCGTGCCAGCTCTCCTGGGACCAACAGAATCTGAGCGTCAGTGAGCAGATGGCTCAAAACGAAGCGTGGAAAGGGCTGAAATTCCCCTCATCTGGGCCATCACCTGTCCCTGTGGCTACACACCCAGCTGGCCTCGCGGCCGAGCGCGCGGTGCCGGGTGCAGCGGCGCTGGGGCTGGCTGCTGCTTCCACCTCCTCCTGTTTGCCACGGAAGGGATGGAGGGCTGTGGGTTGGTGCCAGCCTGGAGAGGGTGAGCTGAGCAGGAGGTGGTGCTGGTGGCTGAGGAGGACGTGGTGAGGAATGGTGGAGATGCTTTGTGCCTGGCAGCCGGGTAGCGCAGAGCTGGAAACAACTCAGCGCTGGGTTTCCTTGCTTTGTCCTTGGCAAGCAGAGAAAGAGGCAGGCTTTGCCATGGAGCTGAAGCTCCTCTGGAAGGCTGTGGGGTTTGGGAGCCTCTGAGCTGCCCTGTGCAGCGCCCTACACCCCAGAAATGTGAGCTCTGGGGTGGGGAGTGTTGGCATAGCTGGAGTAGTCCATGGTGGCGTGAGCTGGCAGGATGCTGCGGCTGTGAGATGTGCTGTAAGTGAATCCCCAGGCCTCTGTTTAGCTGGAATTACAGTTTCTCTCAAGGAAAGATTCTGGAGTCACGTGGGCTCTTCTCCTCACTCCTCTGCACTGCCTTCACTGGTACCTTGGGAATGGGGAGGAGCTGCTGGCAGCAGCAGAGTCTTGCCTCAGAGAGTGGTGGGCACAGAAGGGCAGCGGTGTCAGGGTGTGCAGCAGAGGGCTGAAGTGGGGAGGGGACCCTGGGGCATCTGGAGTTCCTGGAGCATTGGCCACCTCACCCCTGCATGCCCAGATGGGGGCTGGATTGGCGTGGGTGTCGTGCTGGGGGCTCCTGACATGATTTGGCTAAAGTCAGGGCTTGTTCTTGTCACTCCATCCCTGCTTCCATCTTCTGCTGCTGCTGCTGCAAAAGTGGCACCTCTGTCTGTCCCAGAAAAACTCCCTGCAGCTGTGGAGGTGATGGGCCAGCTCTGTCCTGCTGTCCCAAGCTGCACTTGGACCCTGCTGCTTCCTTGTCCCTTTCTTGGAATATTCTGCAGAAGCAGAACGGAAAACAGTGAGCAAAGTCTGGAGTTTGTCCTGGTGCATCTCACTCTGCCTGGGGCAGGTCATGCTGTGCAGGAGGGGAGGGAATGGTGATTCCACAGCCCAAGGAAGGAGAAATGTTGCATGGTCTGTGCATCCACCTCCCCTCCTTTAGCACCTGGATGGGATCTTGGTGCCAAAGCAGGGAGGTGCAGTGGGGGCTGTTGTGTCTCCCCAGGAGCCCACCTACCACCTCTGTGTCCTTGTATTTAGTTTCTAAATTTTTATATTAATTTTTTGTTATATTTCCCCATTGTTAGAAAGTGCTTCTTTGGCTCTGAAGAGCCTGGAAGTTCCTCCTCTGGCCAGGGCAGGCCATCTCAGTGTTTAATTTTAACTGCTCAGGCAAGGACAAAACCACAGTGTGTGTGTGTGTGTGTGTGTGTGTGTGTGCGTGCCTGCTGGGGACCTTTGAACTGTCTCCATCTGCTCTGGGGCCCAACAGCATTTGGGGAGGTGATTTCTCTCCACAAACCCCCCTGGTGGCACTGTGACAGCAGCCCCTGAGTGATGGCAGGCTGCTTCCTCAGAGAGCAATGCTGCCTGAGATGGGGACTGCAGGGTTAACTCTGGAACAGGTTGTCACTGTTAAAGAAGATCATAAATAAATGTAAAGTTTATGAGGCTGAAAAGCCTTTGAGCAGAAGAGTTGAAGTTTAAAGCTTTAAGGGAGAGCACTAAGTGCTGCTTGTTGGAGTTTGCCCTGTGATGGGCAAATAGTGAAGGGCTTGTAAGGAGCTGCAAGAGCAGAGGGGAAAATGTGATCAGCTCTGCCTGTGGGCACCACCATGGCAGCAGCTGCATCTTCTGGCTGGGGGAACAGCCCTTCCAGGTGCCAGGGCCCTGCAGAGAAGCAGGGTGGGTGCACAGAGGGCTGGGAGTCCCTGTGTGTGTCTCTGGGCAGGGGTACTCCCCTGGCACAGAGTGGTGCTGCTCTCATCAGCACAGGGATGCCAACATCCCCCCTGGAGGGGGAGGTCTGGGTGCAGCACCCTGTGTTCTGCCAGCTGGGCACAGTCCCACTGGCTGGGTTTTGGCCCCCACAGTTTGGGGCAGAGCTGATGCTGAGCTCCCCCAGCTCCCCCAGGGCTGGGTGGTGGTGCTGGGGATGGAGTTTGCCCTTCAGTGCCAGCAGTGCCACGGGCTGTGCCACCATGGGGACGAGCACTGCAGCAGGGAGCTGGCCCCCAGGCTCACAGTGCCTGGCTGTGGGTGATCCCCAGGTAGAAGCAATGGCAGCAGCAGGGCAGGCAAGAAATCCTCATTAGGTGTCTGGATAGAGCCAGAAGTGCCCTGCGGGGCCTGAATACATTTGCATTGTAAAGCTACTGAAATCTGGTTGGGGTTTGTTTTCTTTCTGTTTCCCTGGGAAGACACTTCTGTGCAGCGGGGCTCTTTGTTCCTCGGGTTCCTCCTCCCCTCCTGCCCTCAGCTGGGATCCCAGTGGATGGCTCTGCTCTGTCTTCTGCTGGGTGCTGGGTGCTGTGGCCAGCCCTGCA